TTTGGGGCGGGCCGGGCGCTGTGGCACGTGCGGGCGCGGCCGCAGGTAGGTGCCCGGGGCGGCCCAGGCCCTGGGGGCGCGAAATTGCCCCGCCCCAGTCCTCGCCTCTGGGCCGGTGTCCCTCCCCCGAGGCCCCTAGCGCCGGGGCTGGCCTCCAGACTCTGCCCCCGTTCCCCCGCGCGATCCCCGCACGCACCTGGCCCCTAGGGACCGCCCGGGAGGTCACGGGCACCCACATCCTCCATCCCGGGAGTGTGCCCCGAGCCGAGATCGCGCCACGTGGTGGTGCTTCCCGGCTTGGGCTGGTTTTTACCCGCCAGAGCCCTCGGACGTGAGCACCGCTCTCTAATACTCAGAGAGCAGCCCAGCGTGCCCACGCCTAAAGCCAGCCTGTCCCGGTGGCCCTTCCTCCAGCGGCCTTTCAGGGCCGCCTTTTTTCCTTTGGGGCAAAGGAGCCGTCCGGTTCCCCCTGTGGGATTTCTTTTGGTGAATGGATGGGCTGGGATCGACCCCACCCAGGTTGTCCTACCGGGTCTCCGAGGGGACCTAGGACCTAGTCCCTTCTTGGCTGCGGGACCTCAGGCCAATTGCATGGGCTCTTTTGGTGGGAGAGGGGGCAGCCCGCCCCTTTTATCCAGCACCGACCTCTCACCTGGTCTACTGCCATCCTCACCCGACCTGGGTACCTGCCCCCCACCCCATGGAGTCCTTCGGCCACAGCTGTCCACGACTGGATGGCCCAGAGTTCGTCACCTCTCTTTACGAACTCTGTCTTCCCTGGCAGGTGCCCCTCCCCCTCTCTTAAGGGACCCCAGTTCCTCTCTTAAGGTCTTGGACTTCTCTTTTGTGTGCTTGAATGCTCGCTCGGAAGTATTAATTACTTCATCATAACTTATGTTCAGGGACTTCCCTGGTGGCGAAGTGGTTAAGAATCCGCCTGCTAATGCAGGGGACACCGATTCCAGCCCTGGTGGGGAAAGATCCCACATGCCGCAGAGCAACTAAGCCAGTTCACCACAACTACTGAGCCTGCGCTCTAGAGCCTGCGAGCCACAGCTACTGAGCCCCTGCGCCTAGAGCCTGTGCTCTGAAACAAGAGAAGCCACGGCAATGAGAAGCCCGCGCACTGCAACGAAGAGTAGCTCCCGCTCGCTGCAACTAGAGAAAGCCTGCACGCAGCAATGAAGACCCAAGGCAGCCAAAAACAAATTTCTAAAAAAAAAAAAACAAAACAGGAGGAAGGGGAGAAGCATCATAAATAACTTTAGAGACACGGAGGAAAATGCCAGAAGCCACCAAAACTGCTGAAAGGGGGTCTGGTCCGGGGAGCATGGGGCTGGGCATGGCTCTTTTCCATGATGGGGATTTTAGTGATTTTTTTTTTTTTTTAGCTACACATATATTAGTTTTTAAACGTGTTGAGGCAACACTGTGATGAAAACACCACGGCCAGTGAGGCTCGGTGGGGGCCTGGGTCTGAGCTCGGCTGCTGAGCGCCCTCCGGCACTGCCCAAGGCGGGGTGGCAGTGGTGCCTCATCCAAGGTCATGTTTTGAGAGAATAATAGTCAAGAACTTTGTTGCCAAAGAATATAAAACCACAAAACTGCCTTCCCTGCAGCATTTCCACTTTCAGTCTTCCCCCTCCAGTTATTAAAATGTGCTTGTGGCAGTTGATTTTGGAGTGGGTTCATGGTTACTTTTGTGAATTGAGCTGGTTTGAAATAAAATTTACACGCAATAAAAGGCACCTGCTTTCACTGCCCTGTGCGTAAGCTCTTCCTGCCCAGATGAGCGGCTGCAGGACCCAGTTGGCTCTCCCCTCTCTGTCGGTCACCTGGGCCAGTTTTGCCTCCTCTGGGGCTTCACGTAAACAGAATCGATTTTTTCCCCCCTTTTTGGCTGTACTGCGGCACATGGAATGTCCCTGACTTGGGATCGAACCTGTGCCCCCTGCAGTAGAAGCTCGGAGTCCTAACCATTGGACCGCCAGGAAGTCCAGGGAATCGCTTCGTACTCCCTTGGGCGAGTTTTTTGCACTCGGCCTAAGTTAATTTTTGTCATTTTTTAAAGACTCCCGGCCAGGCAGCTGTGCATCCAGGCTCCTTCATGGGCCCGTGTGGGCTGTCTGCTCCCCCCAAGGCTGCCAGAGACCCTCTGTCTCCCGCCAAGCTGGCTCCCTACACCTCTAGGGCCGGCCAGGATCTGTGCACGGATGTCAGGTTCCCTGAACCCCTGATATATATATATATATATAATTTTTGGATAAATTTATTTATTCTTGGCTGAGCTGGGTCTTCGTTGCTATGCGCGGGGTTTCTCTAGTTGCGGTGAGTGGGGGCTACTCTTTGTTGTGTTGAGCGGCCTTCTCATTGCAGGAGCTTCTCTTGTTGTGAACCACGGGCTCTAGGTGCGTGGGCTTCAGTAGTTGTGGCTCACAGGCTCTAGAGCACAGGCTCTGTAGTTGTGGCACACAGGCTTAGCTGCTCCGTGGCATGTGGGATCTTCCTGGACCAGGGCTTGAACCCGTGTCCCCTGCACTGGCAGGCGGATTCTTAACCACTGCGCCACCAGGGAAGCCCCCCAATATTGTTTTATTTTTAAAATTTGAGATATAATGCACACATATTAAGGTGCACCCTTTAAAAGTACACAATTCGGTGTTTCTTTTAGTAAATTAAAGAGTTGTGCAGTCATTACCACCATCAATTCTAGAACATTATCAGGAATTCCTTGGTGGTCCAGTGATTAGGACTTGGCACTTTCACTGCTGAGGGCCTGGGTTCAATCCCTGGCTGGGGAAATAAGATACATCCCGCAAGCTGGGCGGCGTGGCCAAAACAAAAAAATGATAATCGGCCAGAAAATGAAACCCCCTACACTTGCGCCATTACCCCCAAGCCCCCTACAGCCCCAGCCCTGGCAACCACTCATCTACGGATTTACCTTCTGACATTTCACATGCACGGAATCAGACACTGTGGCCACAGCAGTCAGGGTTCTCCAGAGAAACAGAGCATAGCAGAGGTTTACCATAGGAATTGGCCACACAATTATGGAGGGCTCTGTGTGATTCAGTCCGAGGCCAAGGGCGCGAGAACCAGGAGCTCCAGGGCAGGAAGAGAGGGACGTCCCAGCTCAAGAAGAGAGAAGGAACTTGCCTTTCTGCTGTCTTTTTGTTCCACTTGGGCCCCTGATGGGTCGGATGACACCCAAATGGGTGAGGGCGGATCTCTCAGTCTACTGAATCAAATGCTAATCTCTTCCAGAAACATCTGCACAGACACACCCAGAAATGTTTTACCAGCTATCCGGACGTTCCTCAGCCCGGTCAAGCTGACACCTACAATTAACGTCACAGCTTGCTTCTGTGTCTGGCTTCTCTCACTGAGCATCGTGTTCTCAAGGTCCATCCACGTTGTAAACGAGTATGTTTCTCCTTTTCACGGTGAAGTGATGCTCCTGCGTGTGGAGGGACTAGGTTTTTTGTATCGATTCATCCCTGGATAGACGCTTGTTTCATAAATTTTTTTAAATAAATAAATAAATAAATAAATAAATATATTTTTGGCTGTGTTGGGTGTTCGTTGCTGTGCACGAGCTTTCTCTAGTTGCGGTGAGCAGGGGCTACTCTTCATTGCGGTGCGCAGGCTTCTCAGTGCAGTGGCTTCTCTTGTTGCGGAGCAAGGGCTCCAGGTGCGTGGGCTTCAGTAGTTGTGGCACGCAGGCTCAGTAGTTGTGGCTTGCGGGCTCTAGAGCTCAGGCTCAGTAGTTGTGGCACACAGGCTTCGTTGCTCCGCGGCATGTGGGAACTTCCCGGACCAGGGCTCGAACCCCTGTCCCGTGCATTGGCAGGCGGATTCTTAACCACTGTGCCAGCAGGGAAGCCCAAACTCCATCCTTTTAAAAAATGTGTTCCTTCCACCCTCATGGAGGAGGGGTAGCGGATGGGGAGGAGTGACAACCCGATTTGCAGGGGTCCTGTCGCAACCCCTGAAGGGGACAGGGGGAGGATCTAAGAGGTGGCACGACCCCCTAGTGACAGGTAACAGCTGCACTGCTGGCCCTTCCTGCGCCAGGACCTGAGCTCAGCTCCCAGGGCGGCTGGAGAAACGCACTGTTTTTGGTGAGATGCCCTTACTTACTGTGTGGAGGCTGCTCCGGCTGCCTTGGCAACCACACCCCAGCAAGCCTCTGTGCCTGTCCTCCCTGCA